GGGACACATACAGCATAACCATTAAAATATAATACTTTATTTGAGCTCAGAATTGCTACAGATTTTTATGTTATTTTCTTATCCACCTTTAGGGAGAACAGATAAGACAATGTGTCTTGATTTGTTCTGATTATCAAAAGAATCTCTACAATTTCTATGTTATGACTCAATCAACAGAACTCATTTAAGAGTAAAGTGAATGTATTCACCTGTTGCCACAAATATTATCTTATACCTGCTTTCTGGTTAAGGAATTTTGCACTTAACATTAAAGGTCCAGGAAAGACTTTTTAATGTCCCAGAAAGCTGCTTGTTATCCTCTCAATTAACATAGTTCTTGCCCTGTTCTAAGCACTTGAAGTATATTGACTCATTTAATTTTTACAGCAATCCTATGACATTTGTATTAATTTTTATAGGAGAGATTGCTTGAGAACATCATATTTAGGTAATTGTTCATATTTACCTTTTTGTAGAAGAGATTGCTTGAGAACACTGTATTTAGGTAACTTCCCCAAGGTTACACAGCCAGTTGGTATCAGAAACAAGTTTTGTATTCAGGCAATCTGGTAGCAAAGCTGGTATTCTTAACTGTTACACTCTACTGCCTAATTTAAATGAAATTAGACCTTTCCTTATCTGTCTGGTCTCTTTATGCTTTGTAATTCTGTGGACGCTTTAAGGTAAATATTCTTTCAATTCCCTCACATTTGTCTCCTCTAAAGCCTGTATCAATTTTACTTTTACTGCATTTATTAAAACGTTAATAAATTCTCAAGAGTTTTTTAGAATTAGTTATAATTCTCATAATTTTTTAATAAATTATTTCACAATTCTTGGTTGTAAGCAAGATATTCCATATTTGTCAGTTGTGATCACCTTATTGGAGTAAGGGAAGGAGCTCTGGAGGGTTTTAAGGGATGTGACAAGAAAACAGGGCCAGGTGAACAAGGGCGAGTGAGTTAGGGAAAGCCATCACCAGAGGAAAAAGCCCATTTGGTCAGGAAGGAGGTAGACCTTTGTAATGTTGGGAAACTCCCTTCCAAGGCCTGTGGAGAAAAAAAGATACGTGGGGAAACAAATTAAGATCGTCTCCAAATGATCCTCACAGTCATTGCTATGTCTGATCCCATTGTTGCAGCCACTGTGTCAATCTCTCTTACTGAGGATCTTCCTCTTTTTCACTGGCTCTGTACTTTACCAAGCATGATGTCCTTCTCCAGGGACTCATCCCTCCTGATAACATGTCCAAAATACATGAGACAAGGCCCCGCCATGGTCACTTCTCTGGAGCATTCTGGCTGTACTTTTTCCAAGACAGACTTGTTTGTTCTTCTGGCAGTCCATGCTATATTCAGTATTCTTTGCCAACACCTTAATTCATATGCATCAATTCTTCAGTCTTCCTTATTCATTGTTCAGCTTTCGAATGCACATGAGAGTATTGAAAATAACATGGCTTGGGTAGGCGCACCTTAGTCCTGAAGGTGACATCTTTGCTTTTTAACACTTTAAAGAGGTCTTTTGCAGCACATTCGCCCAACACACTATGTCATTTGATTTCCTGACTTCTGTTTCTACGGGCGTTGAATGTGGATCCAAGTAAAATGAAATCTTTGACAACTTCAGTGTTTTCTCCAGTTATCATGATGTTGCTTATTGGTCCAGTTATTAGGATTTTTGTTTTCTGTTGAGGTATAATCCATACTGAAGGCTATAGTCTTTTGATCTTCATCAGAAAGTACTTGAAATCGTCTTCACTTACAGCATGCAAGGTTATGTCATCTGCGTATCGCGGATGAAGATTTTTACCAACTTCTGCAGGCTGAAATTGATCGAACATGCCATCAGGATGCATTGATAATTACTGGTGATTGGAATGCGAAAGTTGGAAACAAAGAAGGATCGGTAGTTGGAAAATATGGCCTTGCTGATAGAAACTACGCCAGAGATTGCATGACAAAATTTTGCAAGACCAACGACATTCATCACAAATACCTTTTTCAACAACATAAACATTGACTATACACATAGACCTCACCAGATGAAATACATAGGGATCAAATCAGCTACATCTGTGGAAAGACATAATAGAGAAGCTCAATATCATTACTCAGAATATGGCCGGGGCTGACTGAGAAACAGACCGTCAATTGCACATATACAAGTTCAAGTTGAAGCTAAAGAAAAGTAGAACAAG